TTAGTACAAAAGACCACAAAGGGTAAACAGCACACACAAAATAATAGCACAAGGTATTGCAAAGGAAAATCATCGGTCAAAGTTAACATTATAGATATAAACTGAGTTGTGAGTGAATGCTAAACTGTGTTGTGAGTGAATTAATTTCTTAATCTATTAGTATTGCACTTTTTAGGGCGTAGGCGGCCAGATCTGTTAGATGTGTATTCATGATGCAAGGGGTGGGAAAGATCTTTAATAATGATGTCTAATTTCTTAATTACAGATTTGTTATATATGTCATCAAAACTCTCAACTTCGGATCCAATGACTTTACGTGTCGATTTCAAGATCCTGAGGATTTTACTACGGTTTTGTTTACTTAAATTACCAAACCATGAAATACAGTAAAACTAAAACACTTAAAATTACACTTTTGAAAAACAGCATCAAAACTTCAGAACTAACATTGAAAGACTTAAGTTTACGCAAGAAGAATAAATGTTGATTAGCTTTTTTACATATAATTGCACAGTATTAGAATTCCAGTTTAGTTTGAATCGATAACATTACCAAGGTATTTATGTTCATGTATATGTTAATGTTTATTAACTATATTAACTATTGTCTACCTCTTTCTTGATTGTGAACTGAATGTTTCAATGACAAGAATTATGGTAATCCAAAAATATATTTACATCATTTTCCTTGTTGAAGAGTCACAAGATGTCATAAATATAATGTTTATAATATAGAAGGCAAAGACCAGTGTAATGCTTAAGCATTAATATAAATAATATAAATGTTATATTGATGACTCCATCGACCTGGTCATACACTGAATCATTAAATTAAAATGCCTGACAATAATAATATTAATCAAGACAATAATAATAGTATTAATAGTAATAATATTGACTGGCATAAATATCTGCCTCCTTTAATAACACAGCTTCAGTATTTGCACAACATGGACTCACCTGCTTTTGCAGATCAGTTTCAGATTCATGCTCTGTTGTTGTATTATTTTGACAAGCATTACGGTCTACATGGCCTGTCTCTTGATGACATGTATCACAATTACCATTACAGATACATTTTATACAGATGCTGCCTGATTTGAAATAGCCTGGCCGGCATTCTTCGCACTTGTTGCCTTGTGTGTTGTTCTTGCAATTAAGACACACTGGAATTTTTGATGAACCACGATTTGACTACAACAAAGAAAGAATCTAAAGTTATTTCTGAGGCACTGATAAAACTGATTTTTGAGATAAACTCTATGGGATTTGAAAAATGGAAATATATTTCCTTAAATGCATATAAATTTCTGAAGTCATAAGCATCATATCAAACCTATGGCAACCAAAATACAAAAGCACTTGGGTGGAATTTTTTTTTTATGCTGGTCTGATTACAGCTACAGTACACATGGGTTGTTCAATGATAGAGACAGTTCACTCACAATTACAGCACAGTAAACATGGCAATGTAATATCCATACATATGAAATAACAAAACAAAAACAATGAGGGCTCTAGCAAGAGTTAAGCAATATAGGTAGGCTAGGTACCTACTTATGCTCCAGCATAGAAGAAACAATGTGGATAAAGTACATTGCGCAAGGATACAACAATCAGACATAGTGGGAACAAAAGGCTCAAAAGCATAAACCGCATAAACCATATTCACATTAATTCTACTTTATGAGCCAATAACAGTTTTTCAACAAGGTACTATGAATTATGACTTACCTTAATTTCTAGGTAGTCATAATTGTCTTTGCTAATACAAGTATCACTGTTGCCATTGCAGTATTCCCGGCAAGGTTGACATTTCCCTCTACCTTTTGGGTATTCCACAAAATTAGGCAAGCAGAATTCACATGTAGCACCCTACCAAGGAAACAGACAACCTTATGCACCTTCTAATTTTCTGATAATTTTTGAGAGGTTGTTGAAATAAAAAGTTATTAATGTGGTTTTTTTTCTGCTTCCAAGACTTTGCATTTCAAGCGCATACAGACTATTGTAATATGTGCTTAATAAATATACAGCCATTACCATTACAATTTTCTTGCGTATAAATAAAATTTGATTAGAAATCATAGCGACCAAATAACCCTTATATTTTCTTGCCTTAATATGAATGAAATTTGATATTAAATCATATTGAGTCGTACACTTACCATTGTGTTATGCTTACAACTTGTACAATTAGAGGGCTGGTCAACACTGTAGCAATCACTATGGCCATTACATTTACACTCAACACCACAGTCATTGCCAACAAAGCCAAATTTACACTTGCATTGATTCACTCCCACACACTCTCCTTTTCCATCCTGGCAGCGTGGGTTACATTGTGGAATGCATCTACATTAGAATTAAAAACATAAATACAAATGAATACCCAGATACAAATGTAGTGACAATACAAAAGAAGCAGAGGCAGCTAAGATTTTACCTATGATGCTGTCAATATATTTAGGTATCAGTTGTGGTTTTCAGTGCAAAATATTAATTGAACCAGACATTAACTACTTTTGGCTTAGGTTGACACCCTATTTTTTTTTTTATAAGGTAGGGAGTCAGATGAATTCTTAGCCTGCCAATTACTACCTGTCAGTATTGTAGAACTGCAGGAGAAGGGTGTGGAGTGACCCCCTGGTACCCCTTGGTTGTATCTATGTTTTTTTTACGGTTAGTTAAGTATATACTTACGGTTTTTCCCGGTTCTCTCAGTAATAATAATAATAATAATAATATTTATATGAATATAGCACCCAATCAGCCTCAAAGATAGAGTATGCTCACAGCACTGATTTCACTATAAAGACTGCTTTGAAAGCCATTTATTAAACACGAGTTCATGAAAAACTTCCGTCACTTTCTCTATGTGGCCGTGCATACGTAGATACTCCACATAAGGCGGTATGCTCCGTGCATAGAGACCTCTGTATTATGTGCTACATTAATCCCACACACAATGCCATCACCTAACATTCCATTTTAGATCAAATATTGAACTTACTCATTGGTACAGCTGTACCCAGGTTTACACTCACAGAAATAGTTTTCTGCTCTATCTTCACATTTTTCACATGGCCAACATCCATGATGATCATTTTCACATTCATCCTCTTGTGGACATTTGAAATAATGCCATTCAGTAGAGGAAGTATCTGTCAACCAAGAACACAAGGAATACAATGTAATAAGAAAGTATAATACATACTCCAAGTATTGAAATACACGCCATCGTGTTGGGATTCAATATTTCGACATTAATTATGTCATCATCATCATTCCTGATGATGACATAATTAATGTCGAAATATTGAATCCCAACACGATGGCGTGTATTTCAATACTTGGAGTATGTATTATACTTTCTTATCTGAGATTAATCAGTGGACCTTTCGGTTTTTGGAAAACAATGTAATAAGAAATACAATATCAATGGATAAAAGCAGACAGTATAATAAAAATAAAAATTCAATCTGGTCTTGTTTATGTAATATATATGTGATGTATGTATTTTTTGCTGTTATTCATAACAGGCATAAGCCTGTTTTTATGTTTTGACAAGTCCAGGGTAGACTACCTCAGGGCACACTATTATAGGATTCTGAAATTTCTAATGCACACAACAAAATTATTTCTTGAATATATTTCTTAAATCTTGAATCGATATAATATAGAGATTGTTATTTACTTTTGTGGTTTGACTGTCTGGAGCACTGGCCCGCACCGTCAGCACCGTTGATGGCTCCCTTCATGCAATCACCAAATCCGTTGGTATTTGGTTTTGCACACCAACCACAACCAGATTCTTGTAGACAATGTCCACAAATTTCCTTTCCAATACAAGGATCCTCATAAGGGCAGGTAATTGAGTCACTATTCAGAATTTTGCCACAAAGCCCATTCATACAGTGAAGCTGAACGTACGTTGGTGACATGCACTGTAAAATAAAAATGTTAGTAGAGTTGTTAGAAGTGGAATCAACATAGGTAGTTTCAACAGAGATGCTAGATGAGGTGACAGTAGCAGTGACAACTGTTAAGGCGGTAACAGCACGGATGACAGGGTGGTTTCAGTTGAAATGTTGAAGGTGTTGCAAAGATGGTGTCAGCTGAGATGGTGTCAGCTGAGGTGGTGACAGTAGAAGTGGTGAAATCCTTTAATTTCACCTTGTACCATCACTTTTGAGGTCTACCATCCCCTCGTAATTTTTATGCTTTATTCGTATTATTATTATTATCATTACTACTACTAGAGGGTGCACTCGCTTACCCTCTAGTATGTTAAACATCGCGATTAGTTTTGATAAAATAGAACACAAAATTAATGACCACTAAAAGAAGATTGGCATAATTACAGATGGGAATACACACCAATTCTACGGAAATATAGCACTGGGCCTAGACTTTAAAGTCCAGGTTACTGTATTTCAAATGTGGTGGATAAATGTAGTTGTGAATGTTATGCATTTACTGTTTCCATGCTTAACTTTAATAGTCATATTTACTTTGTCCATGCTTAACTTTAATAGTCATATTTATTGTGTCCATGCTTAACTTTAATAGTCATATTTATTGTGTCCATGCTTAACTTTAATAGTGTGTGTTGGAATATGGTAGAGGGTACACTTTTTTTTCATAAGAACACTCACGTTGAAATTGCTTAAATATTAAGAACAAAATAAGGACAAATTGAGGCTGAGGCAAAATGTTAACTGAGGTTTGTTTGTTTTACTGGTTCTTATAAAAAAAAAAATGTGTGTATGTTTAGGTAGGATGAAGTAAGGTGATTAGTTTATAAGGTCTTACCAATTACTGTATATTTCTCTTAGAAATTATATATTTGTAACATGTTCAAGATATGGGAAATTGGAAGTTAATATGCTGCAACCATTATATATTTATATACTCTAAGATCTCTAGAGGTCAAAATTCTGAGCCCTCTAGCGGTCATTATTCTGAGCCTCGCTGTCACAAAGTGATGAATTAGGACAGGAACAGCTAACCACATTAAAAAGTTCAAGTGATGACTGAATTAGGCCATGTTAAAAAAAAAAGAGTAGTTGATCTGTCGGTAGGCAGGAAGTTGTTTTGTTTTTTAAATTTGTAATGAAACCACCCCTTTGATACATGTCAAGTCTTCAAATCCCCCATGGATAGCAAGGCCACATTTAAAGTTGACAGACCGTCCAGGGTAGTGTTTGATCAGGTGAAATTTATACACAATAACAACTCCCTGTATGAACAAACACATACATGAAAGACAAAAAAATTACACAAAAACATAGGCGTACACAAAGTTGTATTAAGGGCGGAAGGACAATATTTTCATGAGTTTTGGGGAAAAAAAAACAAAATAAAAATTGGTTGGGCGATTGTTTTTCATGTAGGAAGGGGGATGATCAACATTTTTTTTTCATTTACATGGCCTTATAGTTAGTCAAATCCTCCTTGGTCAAACCACAGGAATCAATGTGTGACACTGTAAACAATGCTATGTGTGCTCAAAATCAGCTAAAACTTCAGTAAATAACGACAGTAAAGTCATTTATTCTTCCCTCAACTAAGCTGAAATATGGAATTATATTCACTTTGTGAGCTCGAAACTTTGATGATCTATGTTGTTACAGTTTTTCAGACTAGTATCCACAGGGTTATCTGATGCAATTGGTTACTTCAGTGTGCTTTGAAATAAGCGTAATTATAATACAGATTATAATAATAATAATAATAATAATAATAATAATAATTTATTACTACTATTATTATTATTATAATTATTATTATTATTATTATTTATACTGTATTTATTATTTTCATCATTTTAATTATGTTTATTATTATTATTATCGTTCTTGACATTCCTTTTTCAAACCCTTTTGTATTGGTGTTTGTAAATTTTTATGCATTATATATTTTCATACTTCTATTTTTGTATTACAATGGAGCGAACCATTGTAGAGGTGTTTGTCACCTCTAGGCTCGTTTCCGTTTCAATAGGCTTATTGAATTAAAAAATAATTAAAATAAAGTAGGAGTGGTGAAAGTAGTAGTGGTGACAGTAAAGGTAGTGTTAGCAGAGGCGGTGTTAGTCAAATTGGTGACAGTCAAGATGGTGTTGCAGAGGTGCTAAGCAGAGGTGGTAGCAGTAGTAGAATAAAGAGTGGTGAAAGTAGGAATAAATAAGTACTACATTGGTTGAGTTTAAAATGCTTAGGTAGGATTGGTATCTATGCAAGCTTTGTTTGGGAGGGGTGGGGGAGGAGATTTGACATATAGAGGGGTGTAGTTCAGCGCTTTGTAACTGCAAAGGAAAGAGCTATATAAACCAAAAGTAACAAAAGTAGTACCTATGTACATTGATAGTGATACCTTCATTTGATACACTATTGTTAGCATCATAAGAAAATGCCTATTAAGTATTAATATATGCAAAATATACAATTGGTACTTGACTAGTGTATATGGCTGGGCTCAATAAGTGGTTGAAAATTAAAATATGAATATAAATATAAATACACACCAGGTTGAGGCGTGTGCTCCAGACGCAACCATCCCAACCACTATCAGCACCGGGACTTTCTAGGCATAGTTGACATGATTTGTGTTTGTTGCAAGGTTCCGGGCATGATGATTTATATTGTATAGGAGTTGGTTCCTTGCGGATCGCTGCTGGCGCATTTGCAAACACATTGTTCTGGTAACAATTCCAAGCATATTCACCCGACAGACTCAAATACTTCCTCATTTCACCTAGAATTTAAAAAAAATTATAGAAATACAAAATATTAAATACCATAAAATGTGTGAAAATCAGATGCAGACTGATTGATGATTGATGGATTGATTGATTTAGAATAAGCAATCTAGATCTACAAGTTAATAGAGGTGTAGCAACTGATTTAATGATTTGACTGTGTACTATAACATGTGGATGGACTGCTATACACCTATATAACTGTGCTAAACTGATTTATTTGAATGTTCTTCATATATACATATATATTTTTTTAAGAAACAACAATAATACATTACACACTAGCCGACAGGAAGGCTTCAGTCTGTCTCTTATACACATCTAGATGTGTATAAGAGACAGATATATATGTTACTACAACTAAACTGGTTGATTAATTAGAGTGGTCATTTAAATTGCTATATATCATTTGCAAATTTGCAAACTAGGATGATGTCACACATGCATATATGCACACACACATACATGCACACACACATACATACACACACTATTAAAAGTTAATAGGAACCAAAAAGCATTATTATTATTTGATGTAATATTTATAAACTGTACTTAATGTAAACTAAATACATAAATTACATACTAACATGGAATGAAAATAGAATATAAAATGGTTGTTTACTTGTCCATTGAACACGATTTGTCCAAAGGCAGTTCATATCACGGCAATTACTGCAAGTTGATGCTGCACAAAAATACTCTGGACAATCCTTATCCTTTAGTATCGGTTGATCTGCCTTGCAGAACTTCTTATCACATTTTTCATGGATATTTATACACTTTCCTTTAGGACAATAACTGCACCATTTGCATGTCTGTGCACAAAATTACAAAAACAACAATTAATAGTATAATCATACATTGTCCCAGTCAACCTTGATGGTATTTGGATGCTTACCGAGCTAGTTTAGGGATATGCTGCATTATATACCAAACTTTCTGATTAGTGTGTAGTGGAAATGCTGCATACTTTACCCAATTTAACTGGTTAGTGTTGGGAAATGCTGCATATTTTACCCAGATTACCTGGTTAGTGTTGGGAAATGCTGCATACTTTACCCAAATTACCTGCTTAGTGTTGGGAAATGCTGCATACTTTACCAAATTTACCTGGTGAGTGTTGGGAAATGCTGCATACTTTATCCAATTTACCTGGTTAGTGTTGGGAAATGCTGCATACTTTAACCAATTTACCTGGTTAGTGTTGGGAAATGCTGCATACTTTACCAAACTTTCTGTTTAGTGTTGGGAAATGCTGCATACTTTACCAAATTACCTGCTTAGTGTTGGGAAATGCTGCATACTTTACCCAATTTACCTGGTGAGTGTTTGGAAATGCTGCATACTTTACCAAATTTACCTGGTTAGTGTTGGGAAATGCTGCATACTTTACCCAACTTTCTGTTTAGTGTTGGGAAATGCTGCATACTTTACCAAATTACCTGCTTAGTGTTGGGAAATGCTGCATACTTTACCAAATTTACCTGGTGAGTGTTGGGAAATGCTGCATACTTTACCCAACTTTCTGTTTAGTGTTGGGAAATGCCGGATAATTTACGCAAATTACCTGGTTAGTGTTGGGAAACGCTGGATATTTTGCCACACACTCAGCACAGGATGATGCCAGGCTACAGTTCCGTTGTTGTAGGCGTTCCTGATTACACAATACACCACCATATGTATGCATTCCTGATTGACAACTGAAAGAGAAATCATCAATAACTTGTTATCATAAGACAATATGATTAATAAGATGATGGTAGTAATAAGTTATCAGACATACACTAGATGAAGTATCAAGACACAACCCATTCACTGAACACAAGGTAATAATCTGCACTTTGACTTAAAGGGGGGGTGCGGGGATGAGACAAGTGGCCATATATTGCTTATTTAACCTTTCCTGAGTTCGGGAAAAATACTTAAAAAATTCAAAATGTTGAGATGTAAGGATAATTACAGAAAC